AAGAAAGAAAGAAAGAAAGAAAGAAAGAAAGAAAGAAAGAAAGAAAGGGAGAAAGAAAGAGAGAAAGAAAGAGAGAAAGAAGGAGAGAGAGAGAAAGAGAGAGAAAGAAAGAGAGAAAGGAAAAAGAAAGGAGAATAAAGAGGGAAGATGTTCAATTATTGTAAATTATGCCAAAAATATAAAGACTCTCGTGGGAGTATTATTTGGGACATTAAACAATTGTTTGGGCATTAACTTTTCTTTTTTCAAATTTAAGATCTGGCACCCTGTCTGATGCAACAGAAAAAAATAACAAGAGGAATTTTTATTGTCAACAGTTGGCACCTATAACCTCAAGACCCACAGATATTTCAAGCTGACAAGCATTTCCTACACAGCAAAAGAGAGCAGTCTCCTTTTAGAGGGTGTTACTATCTGTAATATGTCAAAAGTTCCTTAAGAAGCAGTTCTGGAGCCTGGGCAAGATACAGGATTCAGGGGCCCAGAGGGATGGCTCAGTAAAGAGCTTGCTACAAAAACTGAGTTCTGGTCCTAGTACCAGTGAAAAGTAAGGCAGGATGCTGGTTATCTATCATCCCAGTTCTGGGGAGGCAGAGACAGGAGGATCCTGGAGCTTGATGGCCTGCTACCCTAACCAAATTGATGAGTTCTAACTTCAGGGAGGGACCCTGTCTCAAAAAGTAAGATGGAGCCATGAAGCTGGCTCAGCCCATCAAACTTACAACCATGCAACCCTGGAGACCTGAGCTTGCCTCTAACATCTACACTCAGACCATGACATTTGACACTCACACACATATGCACACATCACACACACACACACACACACACACACACACACACACACACAATAATGAATACTTTTTAAAATGCATATTGGTGTTATGCCTGCTTGTATGTCTGTGCACCAGTGCCCATCTAGGCCAGAAGAGAGCATCAGATCCCCTGGGGCTGTAGTTATAGATGGTTGTGAGCTGCTGTGTGGTGCTAGGAATTGGACCTGGGTCCTCTGGAAGAGCAGTTAGTGCTCTTAATCACTGAGCCTCTCTCCAGCCTCAGTAAGTAATTTTTGTTAGTTTAAGACTGGCTTGGGTTATACAGAGTTCTAGGCTACATTGTGAACCCACCTAAAACAAACAAACAAAAAGCTTTCAAATCTGAATTTCAGAACATCTGAACTGCTCTGAACAGCTAGTAGGAAACTAGACCTGACTTTATAATCTACCATTCCAGTGATCATGAATAAAAATATTTCATGAATCTGTTTCTCCACTACCACTCCATGAGTGCTCCCATTGCACAGAGGCAGAGAGAGGATGGAGGTAACGCCGTAAAGCTAGTAAATGAAGGAGCCAGTACCCACAGGTGCCATCCACTCAGTGTACACTCCAGGGACACACAGAAAGATGCTCATGCCTCCAGACTCCAGATGGTACCAGTGTTTCTATCTTGAGGTAAAATGTCCTGTTAATCTAGAATTATCAATGGACAAGTTAAATTGCCATTCTCAGTCTGGTACCTGCCCCCCATGCTGTTAGTGAGGTGAGAAGTAGAGCACCATAGCCTGAGTGGAAAAGGAACGCTTGGAGCAGAGATTGTCTGAGAGGAAGCTTAGGGGAGAGGACAGAGCGACAGAATAAAGACAAGCGAGGTCACAGACTTTGGGGTCAGGGAGACTCCTCAGTAACTCAGCTGCCTGTGACGCAAGCCTGAGGAGTTGAATTCAGAATCCCAACACCTAGGGAAGCCCATGGCTGCATTCCCAATGTTGGGAGGCAGAGCCAGCAGGATTTGGAGAGCTTGCCTGGCCAGCCAGTCCAGTCTAACCGACAAGGTCTAGCATCATGGAGAGATACTCTTCAGAAAATAAAGACAGGGAGGGCTGGAGAGATGGCTTGGTGATTAAGGGCCCTTGCTGCTCTTACAGAGGACTCAGGTTCAGTTCCCAGCACCCACCCGGCAGCTCACAACTATCTGGAACTCTAGTTTCAGGGAATCTGATGCCCTGATTTGGCCTCCCTGGGCAACAGGCACATATATGGTACACAGACACATGCAGGGTAAACCTTCAAACACAGAAAGTAAAATAATATTTTAAAAATAAAAATTGAGAGCAATAGAAGAAAATAGTTGATGTCTATCTGTGGCCTCCATATGTCAACATGTGTTCCCACATATATTCCCCTCCACACACATGTGTGCATGTGCTCCTAACATACACATTCCCCTTCACACACATACCCACGTACATGTGCACATGTGCTCCTACACACACATTCCCCTCCACACACATACCCACATACATGTGCACATGTGCTCCTACACACACATTCCCCTTCACACACATACTCACATACATGTGCACATGTGCTCCTACACACACATTCCCCTCCACACACATGTGCACATGTGCTCCTACATACACATTCCCCTCCACACACATAC